CACGTCATGTTTGTTACACATCACGTTTGTTACTTGATACCGTCGCGTTTGTTATGCGTCACATTTGTTGCACGTTTGTTAAGCGTTTGTTACACGTCACGTTTTTTACACATCAAGTTTGTTACGCGTTTTTTACACATTTGTTACGCGTCACGTTTGTTACGCGTCATGTTTGTTACACATCAAGTTATTTATATGTCACGTTTGTTACACATCACATTTGTATCGCGTCACATTTGTTACTCGTTTGTTATGCGTCACGTTACACGTTTGTTACACGTTTGTTACACGTTTGTTACACGTTTTTACATGTCACGTTTGTTACGCATTTGTTACACGTCACGTTTGTTACACGTCACGTTTGTTACACGTTTGTTACGCATCACATTTGTGACATGTTTGTTACATGTTTGTTACACGTTTGTTACGAGTTTGTTACACATTTGTTATGCGTTTGTTACACGTCATGTTTGTTACACGTCACGTTTGTTACATGTCACGTTTGTTACACGTTTGTTATACATTTGTTACATGTCACGTTTTTTACATGGTTGTTACACGTCAATTTGTTACACGTCAATTTGTTACACGTTTGTTACGTGTCGCGTTTGTTACATGTCACTTTTGTTACACGTTTTTTAAACGACACGTTTGCTACGCGTTTGTTACACGTCACGTTTCTGACGCGTTTGTTAAACATTTGTTACACGTCACATATGTGACGCGTTTGTTACGTATCACGTTTGTTACAGGTCACTTTTGTTACACGTCACTTTTGTTACACATTTTTTAAACGCCACGTTTGCTACACGTTTGTTACACGTCACGTTTGTTACACGTCACGTTTGTTACACGTTTGTTAAACGTTTGTTACACGTCATGTTTGGTACAAATCATGTTTGTTACACGTTTGTTACATGTCACATTTTTTACACGTCACGTTTGTTAAACGTCACGTTTGTTAAACGTCACGTTTTTTACACATTTGTTACACGTTTGTTACATGTCTTGTTTTGTTACACGTTAGTTACGTGTCACGTTAGTTACATGTCTGTTACGTGTAAACGCGTTTGTTACACGTTTGTTATACGTTTGTTATACGTTTGTTATACGTTTGTTATACGTTTGTTATGCTTAATGTCTGTTACACATTTGTTACACGTTTGTTACATGTTTGTTACATGTTTGTTACACGTTTGTTACACGTTTGTTACACGTCGCGTTTGTTACATGTTTGTTACACGTCACGCTTGTTACACGTCACGCTTGTTACACGTCATGTTTGTTACACGCTTGTTACACGTCATGTTTGTTACACGTCATGTTTGTTACACGTCATGTTTGTTACATGTCACGTGTGTTACGCATTTGTTACGCGTACGTTACGCGTAAGTTACGCGTTTGTTACGCCTCACTTTTGTTACACGTCTGTTACACTTTTGTTACACGTTTGTTACAAACTTGACGTGTAACAAACGTGACGTGTAACAAACGTGACGTGTAACAAACGCGTCTTGTAACAAACGCGTCTTGTAACAAACGCGTCTTGTAACAAACGTGACGCGTAACAAACATGACGCGTAACAAGCGCGACGCGTCTGTACTTATATAACACTTTTCTATCTAATCAAGATACTCAAAGCACTTTACAACAATCTGTGTCCTCATTTACCCATTCATATAGCACTCTACTAGATCTATACAAAACTAATGGATCAAATCATTCTAAAGAGACTAATCAGAGCTTTATCACATTCATACACTGATGGGACACACCTCAGAGGCGATTAGGGGTTCAATGTTTTGCCCGTGAACACTTAGGCATGTGACTGCTGGTGGATTCGAACCCCCCAACTCTTGCATTGGAGGACGACTGCTCTAACCACTCAGCCACAGCTTAGCGATAAGTTCAAACCTCTGGACATGGACAGTTTTATCTAAATATTAAAGAGTTTACTTAAAAAAAATTGTATTTGCCTGTATAGATTCAAAATCTTTCACAAGCATCCTTCAGTATCCTTCATCCTTCAGTATCCTTCATCCTTCAGCATCCTTCATCTTTCCCAAAACAAACAGAAGCTTAAAAATGAGTTTCAACACACACACAGATGAAACTCGTTACAAGACCTCTGCAATAAAGCCCTCACTATAAACATAACAAATAAAAATACATCAAAGATTGTTTTAATGAATACTACTGATCAGTCAGAACATTTAAATTTAAATTACTGCCTATGTAGAAGATTTCAAAACTGTTTAAGACTAGATAAATATTGAGAGTTATCATGTCTTAAGAGAGGTTCCAGTTTATGAACAAATGATATCTTACCTGTTGCAGATAGCTTTTCGACTTCTGTCTGGAGACAAAGTTTACTTCAGAAAGAACCAACAAGCTAAGAGCATGTTCAAACACCTGAGGAGATTACTGCTTTTTAAAATCACTTACAGTCTTCACAGTTGTTTTTTTTCAGTTGGGTCAAATGCTTTTTTATAGGCTTTTGTACCGCTGTTAGTTTTACAATAAATTACATCGTTATTTGTAAGTGTGTTTAATAGCAGCTGGAGCAGTTCTGATGAAGCTGTTTGAGCAGAAATTTTGTAATATTTATGCCAAAATTAATTGAAAAGCCCAGCAGTGTGAAGGTTTAAAGTATAGTGTTTGCATGAACTGCTATGAAATTGTGAAGGGTGGAGTTGTTTTGAGACGGCAGGGGTCGGCTTTAGTCTTGGCCTCATTCAGACTAACCTTTGGCTTGTCAGTCCTGTTAGAAAACAACTTTTTCTCTGAACTGAGGTCATTACAAGATCCATCTACAATGGGCAGTGTAATAATTCTTTGTAACTATTTCACTAAGTCCCTCTTTAAAGTGGTCATAATATGTCTAGCTGTGATGGATGAAATGTAAACAACCAGAACATAGAGAACTGGCAGGCACCCACACAAAACACCCTACTGTGTTACAGCACATATCAACAGGAGCTTTATTAAATGTCAGCACCATTTCTGCTCATGTTCTCAGCTTTTGCAAGTTAAAGCCTAAATCTGAGTTATAGTAGAAAGTAGAAAGGGGGTCATGTGTTTTTGTTAATATTTCTATATTTATACTTCATATTAGTCCGGAGCAACAAGCTTCTGTTTACTGATTGTGCTCCAACGTTGAGACTTGAAGAGAAGTGCTGCATTTGACTCATCTTTCCCTCTTTTTTACTCTGTGCTGCCAGCGTAAGAGAGAAAGCAGCTCTGTTCTGTGGCAGATGCGAAGACAGCTGCTGCTGGAGCTCGTGGCCATCCTGCCACGCTCACGCAGCATCCACGTGCCCAATGTGAACGACATGGAGGATGGAGGTGGTTCAGGGTACTCTGGTCTCAGGGAGGAGCACGTTGTGAAGGCCAGCGCTCTGCTGAGACTCTACTGTGCTCTCATGGGGATTGCTGGTCTGAGGTGAGATTCAGCATCTGCCCTAACGCCATAGTTGTGGGGTCATGCTGTAATCTTTATTTTTTACTTCAACGTTCAACCCATATGTTTAATCTTTCATGATGTGTACATCTTTTAAATCACAATAACTTTTTCCCATTTTAAACGCCCATTGGACACATTGTGATCTAGTTTGTATGTCAGAGTCAGTTTCTTTATTGTCATTTGCACCACATGTGGTACACGTGGTGGAACGAAATTGTGTGCACAGGGTCCCAGTTACATCCAACAAAAGTAGGGCTGCAACTAACAATAATTTTAATAATCAATTAATCGGATGGTTATTTGTTCGATTAATCGATGAATCGAAGAAAAAAAAAAAAAAAAAACACACCCAAAAACGTTTTAATTTCCATCTCTTTATTCCAAAATTTGACTGACATAGCAATTCACACAAAAAACAGGTTGCTACTTGACTATTCTGTTAGTAAAATATTGAATAATAAAAAATAAAAAGTTAGTCAAATAGCTTCAAGAAAAAGTAAATGTACACAAAAACATATACAAGTGTATGTTTTATACCTGCACAATATGCAGCTACTTTATAAAATGTGTCCTTGAGGGAAGAGTGTAACCTGGATTAAAAGTGTGGATGATTGTAACCTGGATTAAAAGTGTGGATGATTGTAACCTGTATTAAAAGTGTGGATGATTGTAACCTGGATTAAAAGTGTGGATTATTGTAACCTGGATTAAAAGTGGATTATTGTAACCTGGATTAAAAGTGTGGATCGTTGAAGTGAAGCCTTCGTCTTCAACCATCGACAGAGGCCTCATGTCATTGACGATCATGTTCAGGATGATTTCAGTGAAGACAGCTGCTGCTGTGGTGTCCATGATGTCCGTCCATCATGCAGGATGTTGTTGTTGTTGTTGTTTTCTGGAATGAGAGAGTAAATATGTATTATATCATAATTAACAGCTACTCAAGAAATGCCTTGTTTCACTTACAGTGTTAGGTTCAGGCAAGTAAGTAGTCAAAAGAGCAATTAAACACACACACACACACACACACACACACA